CCACTCCCACCCACATGCCCATGGAGAGAACCATTCCACTCCCCACCCCCGCCCGGGTGTTCACGGAAGATCCGATCCTCCACATGTACCCACAGGAAAGGAGAGACCCCCCACACCGTCTTAAGTACTCGCAGAAGAGAAAGACCTCCGCAGGTGCTTGTAAAAGAAAAAGACTTCCCAACAAGTATTCACTGAAGGACAGGATCCCCCCTGAACACTCACGGAAGGCAGGGCCCCCGCCCGCGGTATTCACGGGAGGACAGTGTGAGGTGCAGGCTGTCAGTGGCCGTGAGGCTGTGAGGACACCTGGCCACCAGCCCCCGTGCTGTGCGCACCTGCTCAGCACGACCACCTCGGTGAGCATCGGGCAGTGACCGGGGATCGCAGGGGGCTGGGACCCCGAGGACCTTGGATCAAGGGCCGTGCCAAGTGATGGGGTGCACAGGCTCGGAGCAGTGGCTGGCTGTGCCGTCTCAGGGTCTGGGAGATGGGCGTCAGGCACGCTCGAGCCCGGCAGGCAGCAGGCCCCACGGTGACCAGGGAGCACGCAAGCCCTCGGCCTGGCACCTAGGGGGACGGCACTCAGGACTGGTCACAGGACTCGGCTGTGCTCTCACTTCACCACTCAGGCAGCTGCTCTCGTGTCAGCCAGGAGAGGGGCTGCGGCCTGGCCCCCCACACCCACACACAGCCGGCGGCACCAGCGGTCGTCAACGATTTCCTTTATTGTATTTGCAATATGAAATAAAGCTCGTACAGATACGCACACTCACGCGGCTCGCTCGGGGACAGGGCACGGGGACAAGGTCACTTGGCAGCTGGGGCTAGAGCCCTAGACACTCAGGATCCGCAGGCCCGGCCAGACCCCCGCCTGGGGCCAGAGGGGCATCACTGGGGTGTGCGGGGCCTCAGGGGGATGTCACAGGCGCCCCCCTGGGTGGGACCCCCAGCCCCGTCTTGAGCAGGGACCACGGTTTCCTAGGTTGTCGATACTGTTAGGGGAGAAGGGGGCTTGGCAAAGGCTTGGCCCACTGGCCCCCAACTCCCCACCCTCCTAGCTTGCCCCAGAAGACCCGCTATGAGAAGGGGTGAGTGCGGGGAAGGCCTCTCACTTCAGACGGGGCAGCTGCGCTCGGGGGCCAGGCTGAGCCCCAGGCGCCCGCCCGCCGCCTCTGCTCCACAGTCCGTGTATATAGAATATATAATATAGGGCTCTCTCTCCTCACTCTGTAGTCAACTCTCTATATCTTTATTCTAGGAGGCAAAGCCCCGTCATTTCTCAGTGCAAATGGGGATGGAGGTGGTCCCCCCGGGCACCGACTCTTGGGAGCCCAGAGAGAACGAAGGTGGGGGCTGAGGGTGGAGCAGGGAAGTGGGGCCAGGATCCGGCCCCACCTCCACCCCAGGCAGAGTCCACAGGAGCATGGATGCCGTGGCCGTCACCATCAGACCCGGGGGTCACCTGCAACAGAGGGACACGCTGGGTGAATGCGGATGACCACCCGCTGCCCACCACCCACGACACACCATCGGGCACGGCCACACTCACGGGGAGCCGGGCGCTGGGGGCTCCCCCAGGGGAGAGCCATCAGGCACTGGAGACGGCTGCAGGGCCTGGGTGCTGTCAGGACAGGGCAGCTGGTCAGCTCACGCCCACGAGGCCCCGCCCACCCACCAGCTGCACTGCTGCTCACCTCTGGCGCTGGGACAGCCCCCTGGGCTCCGAAGTCGCCTCCCTCTCGGTGGTCACAGGGGACCGCTGCGCCCCGGCTGGGACAGAGGTAGAGGGGTCTCTGGTTGCACTGGGGAGAAGGGACGTCAGGGACATGAGAGCCCCTCCTGGCACCTGCTCACCTCCCACACACCAGGGCATCTGTCAGGGCAGTCACAGGAGCAGGGCCCCACAGGGCCCCACGCCCCACAGGGCAGAGCAGGTCAAGTGCTCCGTACACAGGCTCTTCCTGCCGCCTGAGCCCCCCCCGCTGGAAGACCTTGCCCAAGGCACAACCTAGGGCGTGAGGGGCAGGGACAGGACTCGGGGCAGGGAGTGAGGCGGTCCCCGAGACCACGGAGGATCTGATGGCACCCGCCTGTCACCTGTCTGAGGAGCTGGGGGTGCCACGCATCCCACTGAGGGTGGCCTGGAGGTCCCCAACGCTGATCAAGGCCTGGCAGGGGGCTGTGGGCGAGAGAGCAGAGTGAGGCGTCTACGAGAGGGCACGTGCGGAGGCAGCAGAGTCCACAGCAGTGACGGGGCAGCCCTCGCTGGGATGGGGGTTGGGGGGGTCAAGGGATCCTAACTGCATAGTGTGTGGGGTCCCTTGTGGGCCTTCC